TATTTTTGAGAGTGTATCTAGTACTGGGACATACTGTACTAGTACTGGAACCTAGTTACTAACAATGTTACCATAAACAATCTCCTTGTTGCATTTCAGCTTTTCATCATTCATTATTCCTTATATACTCTATGCTATATCATTTAATTTATCATTCCCATGATTTATTTTTCTAAATTTCATTTACACCTGGGTAGCAGTAGTTGGTAATTGTAGACCATCCTGGTATCTTCGGGATAACTCATTTCAACAATTATGATTTGGGACACACTAATTTTCATCTCAGATACTATTTAGGATGGATAGTATGCCAGTTGGATATGTCTCTATTGCAAAGAATGTTACATAAATAAAATTGAATTCTACGTTGCACGTAGAAGTTCCAGTGTTTTGGGGGCGTGGACACAGGCATTCAGTATACAGTTAGGTCTTTCAGCAAGAAAACTACTTTCTGAAGACCTGCAGGTGCATTGCTTGACTCTTGCTTAATCAATGGATGTGGGAATGGTTTCTTTTCTGCTTTTCCCCTCTGGAGAGGGTTTATTCAACCATAGTCACCTGTAACTGGGCTCCTGACTTAATGAATGGCTGGAATTTGCAGTCAATTGGGAATCAATAGCAGTATTTACTTTCAGGGATCCAGAATCGCTGGCTTTTATTTAGTCTAGTTTGGTTTTAAGAGCCATATTATACACACATGGCCATTCCATGTGCTGAGGTAATATATTATCCCAGCTTGATTTAGTGTGCCTTCTGTGGGCTCGGCTTGGCCATCTGCATTTAAAGATTTCCACATCTCTCTGGACTTTCAGTAGTGTGTACACTACTGGTGGAGTCAGCAGTAAATATGCTGTATCCTCAAGAGGAATCAGGAGTTGTATTAAGGGTAAGGCTGAATGCTTATTCTGGTGCAGTGCTATTCAGATAGCATCATGACTGTTAGGAGGAGCTTAAAAAGGCTATAGGGGCCTTCTGAAGTGGAGCAGAAGTGCTGTTTGGCACCCCAGAGACAGAAATATATGGCCATGCGATCCTTCTCCTTCTCTTAGCCTCTCTCTCACCTTCCTGGCTCTCTCCTCAAGCAGCTGCTAAATTCCCATTCCACTTTGACAAGTGAAGAGCTCGATTTAATTAGAGGCAGTCCAGAGGATGGGGAATAGAGCTGCTGGGTTTTACCTGTCATATCTCTAGCACGGTACTCCGCTAGGCAGGGGAGAGATATATCAGCTCCAGAACCTGTTCCACTAAACATGTAACATCTTTACTAAGCAGTGGACACTGAATGGACCTTACCCTCAATCTCACTGTCGGCATTGAAACTGATCTCATGTATTCTCTGTAAGAGACCCTGCAAGTATCTGATTCTTTGATGAGCCAGAAGGGAAGCAGCCCAGTCATACGTGTATTGTAATGTAGCATTTATCTGCATTGATCTCTTAAGGTCAGATTGAAATGATTGAATATTGATTGAATAATCTGCCATCTCGGTGCTGACTTAGTGTTCCTTGGAGACATGAGCGGTGACATGTCAATCAATTAGGCTTGACTTTAAATAATTTATAATTTAATAGTTAATTTTGTGTGAATACTTTTTTTTTAAGGGTTGGGAATAGCAAATTAAGATGACTTTACATAGACCAGCATTTGCCCTTTAAGCACTAAATAATCACGTCAGCCATTTTTGAGCTATTTCTCTTTTTTTTATTTATTAGCACAATAGTGCAGGGCTGTTTAAAAACTAAATCCAGCTAAAAAATCCCTATGCAGACTATGAATGTGCACTCAGTCTTCTGCTTCAGGGGTCTGCATCCGAATATCCCTAATACCCTACTATACAGTAGGCGAAAAGCAGTACACCAAAGGAGTAGCATGTCTGAATTCTCAGTATTTATAAAACAGTAACCAAAAATACTGGATGATCTACTGCTTCTGCCTAGATTCTGAAATAGGGAACCAGCATTGGGACTGGCGTGGAAGAGCTGTCAAAATGGAGGAAGGCAGCGTGCCGGCTCTTTTTAAGTTGTAAGTCACATGACAGTGCCAACATGGCGGGTGTAGTATGTCCGGATTGTAAACCTTGATAAACCTATTCATGCTACACTCATATACTTATCAGTAAGTACTGTATCAACGGCCAAGCAGTAGGTACTGAATCAAATGCAGTAGGTACTGTCACAGTACACAGTTTTTAAACACTTTTTAAACACACAAGGATTGTCTTTATGTAATAAGTGTGTGCATATGGTTTTTATTGAGTGCTTCACATATTACTTTTCTTTATACAGGCCAAATTCACTGACATAAACTAATTTAGAGAGCTTTGTGCTTTACTAGTTTCGACGTACCACAGAAAGTGTGTACAAAATAGACTTACCTTACAAGAACTGCACGGCTTCTCTGACTAGCTTCAAAAAGCTGTAAAATTTCAAACGTATGTTTCCTCAACCGTAAATATGCTATTTAATTATCCATCCCAGTGGTGTTGTAAGTGGGCTCTGAAAGGAGACAAAAAAATCCTGTTACCATCTGTTCTTCATGAATATATACTGTTGGACGAGAGGGTTCATCTTATGCAGTAGTGCTGCTCCATCACTGAAATCAAGGTTTATGTTAGCTCTGAACCACATCTGATGGTCAATAAAAGGCAGCAGACTGTAAAAGTCCCCCACTTGACCATCATTGTTTTGCATATGATGTGAACAGTGGTGAGTTATACACCTGGGTTCAAGTGTTCATTCTGACTTTGCTTGTTAGATCGTTTCAGCAGTGTGGGCCATTTCTGGCGCACACGCCTATGCATTGTATACATTATGCAGACGTTATTTTTGAACAACTCAAGAGCTCTGTGAAAAAGCTGTCAGAGGCGCATCCACAGAGTCCTTCATCATACAGCAGCACAGTGCCTGAAGCTCCATGATGCCTGTGCAGCCTGCTGGAGTGAGACCCGGTTTGTTCAGGAGAATGTTTTATATTCTAGTCCAGGCCTGTCATTTATCAAGAAGGATTTGGGAATACATGTTTAAGGAGCAAGTTGTTATATACATTTAATATACATTTCCTTCTTTCTCTCTGTGTCCAGTCATCCTTTGTTCCCTACAATCAGAGACTTTCCTTATCCCCTGGCCTGTACCTAAGGCCTACTCCGCTTGTACACATCACTACTACTTCAGCCATGCTCTCTTATGCAATATTTTATTTATAGCTGTGAGATGGGCGATAAACTTATGTTGATTGCAGATTTGCAGCCAATGCTAAATTGATTTGTATTCTGCAGTGGAGCTGTGCAGCTTCACTGACAATTCGTGAGCTGCATTCAGTACCAGTCACCCGCAAGACAATTGCTCTGCTTGTCCCTTTTTACATATTTTTTATATACATTTGTAGGTATTTTTGTGGCACCACCTTTTTTAAATAGCTGCATTTTTAAAGGAATTACATTCACCTTTGGAATGCAAAAGTGCTCCGTGCCTGGGGGCTTTTTTTGTGGTGTACCTGAAATTAAGTTTTGCAGTATACACTTCACCACACGACAACAGCCGAGACAACGCTTCGGAAGTGTGGCAGTTGATGATGTTTCTGCATGGAGGAAGTAAATAGTTTTTCTGCGTTCTGTTTTATTTAGCTACTTATCATCATGGTTGGTTGTGCATTATCCTCTGTGGTTATGTGATATTTTGAGAGACATACAGTATGAGCCTGCGTCTTCAAAACCTTTGCAGCAAACCGAGCACTTGAAACAAAGAAAAATGTGATCAGGTGAAATATGCATCTTCCAGAAAGAAGAGAACTGTTCAATATTCCCTCTACATTATAATCACACTGCAGGCTTAGGGTTCATTAAACAGCCCACTTGGATGTATGTATTTGAGAAGTAAGAAGAAGAGAGGCAGAAAGACAGAGTGAAATGGGTACCAGAAAGACAGAAAGAGAATTATCAATACCACTATTGCCTCACTCATGTTTACCAAAGCGGTCCTTCATGGACCTCTCACCTTTGAAGCTTCACTTAGTCCCCAGATGGACAATTATTTTCTCTCACAGAGACATCCTACCCATGTCAATGAGCTTTTCACACAGTGCAGCAACAGCCACAGGCTCTGTTTCTCTTGCTCTCTTTCTTCATCACTCTTCACTCTCCCCCAGTCTCTCTCTTTCTCTCTCTCTTTTTGTCCATCTCTTACAGTGTAATCCTTGTACAAACAATCACCATCTCACATCATTTAGATCAGAGGATGCCTTTTATGAACAGTCCCATAATTCATCTTTCATTTTCCTTCTGTGATTTATAATCCAATTAGCACACAACTTAATTGATGGCCTGATAGGAGCAGCACTGGCCTCTGAGTGCAGTGACTTGATCTCAGCCTGAAGTGTTTCCCAGCGATGTGGTGTATTATATTTTTAAGGGCCTACTGTCTGGCTGGAGAGAATTTGATAAGATGGAAGCAGGATTGTGAATGCGAATGGCAAGGGATAAGAGACTATTGTGGTGTGGTATTCATGGTGGAGAGTGGAGAAGCCTACCCATACTCACAAAAAGACTTCTGTTTATAATCTCCAGCTACATACCACTTTGCCTTAGGCATGTTGGGTAAAGTAAGCATGCAGTGGCTTCTGGGGAAATGTTACATCTGCATTTTGTACATCTTGTGTTTTTCCTCACATGGATTAGAGATGCTGTACGATTGCTGTAAGATAACAGCTTTCTTGCCCTGCAGCTTGGAGCCTACAGTGGGTGAGAAATCATAAGTAAGGGGTCTGTAAAACATCATTGCAGTTGATGCGGAATCTATCCCAGGAACACTGGGGCATACGATGGGAATGCACCCTAGATGGTACCCCAGGCCATCGCAGGGCACCGTACACACCTAGGAAACCTGTAACCCATGGTCAGGATCTAACTGTGTACAGCAATGCTACCCACTGCACCACCCAATTAGGTAAAATTTCTATGAAGTATCCCCATATATTTCAAGATGCAACAAACTTGAGAAAAAAGGGCAGTGGTGGCTCAGTGGTTAAAGGTTCTGATTTAATGATCAGAAGGTCAGAAGTTAAAGCCACAGGTTCAAGCCCCTACCACTGTTGGGCCCTTAACCTTCAATTGCTCAGTTGTATGAATGAGGTAAATGGAAGTTGTGCTGGATAAGGGCATCTGCCAAATGCCATAATATGTCAAATGTAAAAAGACCAGTGGCTGAGGCATAATGTTAATGTTAAGGCTGATTAGTAACCTTAAACGTAACCCTATAAGATTGGTTGATGCATTGAATGATTGACTACTTGTCCCATTCACTAGTTCTACAAGCTGCAGTTTTACATACTTGCTCACTTCTTGCGATTATGAATATAGTATGATTTCAGTGTGTACAATAAAACCAGTGCAGTGTGCTTATAGACTGCATCAACAGCAGCAGAGCTAATTTTCTGTACCAGTCAGAGCCTTGTGCAATGCATATATACTACAGTACTTCCCCCAAAGCAATTTTGATCACAGGATTTCAGCTGCATCCCAGCTGTTGGGGGCTCATGCATTATAGGACTGGGCATCATCCATTAGCTCATCTCAGACTTTTGTGACTGTTGTACTGCAGTCTCTAGGCACAAACCAGGATCTCTATCTGATCGGAAATGAGCTAGGAAAAGATAGAGATAACTGGCTCGAGTTCATGGTACAAAAAGGTAAGGAAGAGGGTAAGAGGGTCGCAGCCCAGCCCTGGTCTCTCCACCACTGGCTGATATAATCTATTCCAAAATGAGAGAAGCTAATTAGAAATAGCAACATCATTTCAATTTGGCATTCACTGGTGACAAGTTGAGGGGATCCAGCTGTACCGTAAATCAGGAAAGTCATTACCCATAGCGAAGTGAAGCAAATTACTGAGCCTGTCATCTCTGTCGCAGAAGCCTCTTAGCATCTAACTTAAGTGCTGCACTTTCAACCACTTTAGAGACTGACACTTATTAGATGCCAAGTGTCCTTTGATACCCACCTGTGCAGATATAGCCTGAGGATTTTCTGCTTTCTGGTAGTCGCAGAAAATAGCAAGCCAAGTTAAGCAAGTGCTGATACTATGGGGGTTTGTTTTTTGTTGTTATGAAACAGTCATATTATGAGTTGTTTTCATTTTAGGAAATTTTTACGTTAAGCATATGTAGTACAATAAACTGCTGACAGCCTCCTCATTAAATGTCAAGGTTATTTCCACCTTCTTCCACAAACATCCTGCCATTATGCCGCTTCAACTGATTGTTTCAACTAATTTTCAATATCCCCAAGCCCCCCTGCCTACAATCATGCACTACATCTACTTTGGACGGTCACATTCCCAAAGCCCTCAGTCTACTCTTCTCTCTGCCCACTTCCACCCTACATCTCAGGGGAGCTGGCCACTGGCAGCAAATACATGCTGTGAGCAAGCCTTATTGATAACCTATAAGCATTGATGCAGAATCTGTACAGCAGCATATAGTATAGTAGTGTTCATTCAAACTAGGAATGTAACCATATACAAATAGAAATTATTTGGATTAAAAAGAATCTGTTTGATATGGATACAAATATAGAGACAGATAGGTTTGAATAGGAGGTACACTATTCTTCTGCCTGGTCAAGGTCACGGTGGTTTAAATTAGGCTACTAATTTGTTTATATTTTAGGAAATATAACCATCTATATTTCTTAGAAAATGTTGCATGCAGGTACAAAAAAATACAAAAAACTACATGAGTAAAATGTTAATAAAATATAAAAAAATAACAGTCCCATGTAGTATATCTCATATTGTGATTAATTATGAACTTGAAAACTGATGTAACTGTCCCAGACCATGCTAATGGAATTGGCATTTCTACCTCTGAGTTGTTCGAGTGTTTCAAAGAGTATAGTGGCAGGGTTGAATTAAAATAAAAATAAAAAGTTTAGGCCACACCCACATTGTTTTTAAATCCAAATCCAGATACAGACAGGGATATTTGGAGCTCTAAAAACCTATAGATAGTGCCATTACACCTCTAGTGTATATGTGAATTTGTTCTTATTAATACAAATAGTAAGTTCTGATAACTTTATCAATCTTACATTTTTATTATATTAGGCCCACATACAGCTAATGGAAAAGGAACAGATATTATGTTACAGTTGGAACGCAAGAACAGAAATGTTAAAATATTGGTTCTACTCTGAGGGAACTGATTTTTCTTCTTCTGAGCTCTGTTCACATCTATGCCTGGTACCTTAAGAGGTGTAAATTCTCATATTGGAATTGTACTTCATTCCTCATGCATGTGTTTTTACATGAGATGTTTGGGAATAAGCACTGGAACTACTCAGTGCTCCTTAAAGCCATCCTGTGTTTTTCATTGCTTCTTTGACACCCCTGGGTTCTCTTTCACACACATCTCTCGACACAGAGTTGGAGGTGAAAATTACATAGAACACAATCGCGAACACAACCTGAGCTCTGCCGTCATCTTTCTCACCTCTGCCATCAAAATACCCATCCACCACTGAAGATTGGCTTCGCTTTTTCGCTCTGTTAAGCATAATCAGTATTATGCATTCATTCCAGCAATGAAAATCACTATAACCTTCATGTACTACTGTGCATTTTTATCTCAGGCCATATTTTTAATTCCAAAGCAATACAGGGATTTTTTTATATCCTCTAAGCTTTATCTTCATCTCAACTTTAAGCAATATACTTTTTTCCCATAGACCCCTTCATATGCATGGGGGAAGGTGTGTGTGTTTAGGCAATGTAACACAGATGAAAATCACATGTTGTTTTATATTTACAAAGACAAATCATATTTTAAACATTTATTTCACCCAGTTCCTCTCAACTGAAAATGACCTAAACAGATTCTTGGTAATAAAAATCAGATTGAAAAAAATATATAATAATTTTGTGTTCAACAAATTAAAATGAACCAAGCACTAGAAAAAAAATTCATCTTCATCTGAACATTTTTGTCATATAAATCTGATTTTTAAAGTTCTTTAGAGAAATTGAATACAGACTCAGTTTCGTATTGGAAAAATTATAGCATCATCTTTCATGTTGAAAAAATCTCTTTTACTCCATGGTGCTTTCATTGAAATCATTAATATGACATCTAAAATGCTTAATGAATACACATTCTACCATAGAAAATAACTAAAAGACAAGCTTGCATTGCATTTCTAAAATCACAACGCAGAGAATTCAGCTCACTTTGAAAATCAACCATAAACTACCAGACAAATAACTGGAAATGAGCCCACAGTGTGTATAAAGCAGGTGAGTCCAGAACGAGTGCACCATGATTGTATTTCCCTCATGAGCTATGACTAAATCCTATATTGGCGTTTGTATGTGCTCTCCTCTAGCACTTTCTCAACTGAGAGATTTAAGGCTGACTCATGTAATGTCCAGAAATACTTAGCTGAGAGTACTCCGATTATTTGTTTTCAGGCTTTGCAAAGTGAGGCTTTTATCAGATACAGAACTTCCACTTTTCAAGTGACTGAACACTTGAAAAGCAGCATCTTGCTTTGTATAACATAGTGGTGGCTGTATGTAAATTTTCATGGTAGGGGACAAATCCGGAAAGCAATAGCCAACACTGTAACATTAATAGAATCCAGTGTTGAAAATGTGGAACCCGTATATAATGACATGCACATTATGCTCAAAAAATTCCAATTAATAATCCTGATTCTTAGAACATGGGATCTCACAGTATTTTCGTGAAAATTTAGAATTTTTATAATGTATACGGAATATGAGATAGTCTGGGAAATCTCACCAGGTCACTGTAGTCAAATTCTGAGGGACAAATACACTAAATAAAATTTTCTGTAATTTCAGACCTATACATTTATGGTGGAAATTTTCCAAATTTGACCATATGAAGAGTTTTCACAGGCCACCACACATATATTGAACTATTTGCTGATTTAAATTGAGGTGATCACAGTTGCACCACGTTGAGTAGGTCAGAGGGGGTTACGATTATATTTCTAACACCGCACCACAGAATAATCTGGGATGATGATCATGAAAGACCAACTTAAAATCCAGATACCTTTTGAGTTTATCAGTAGGAGAGGATCAACTTCAAAACCTTTAATTTGGACATTTGCAAGAATCTTAGTATTATACAGTAAGGCTTTCCTTCCCATTCATTCTTCATCGAGTTAGAATCATATAATACCAAGGTCACGACAGAGAGGGGACAGAACAGGTGACTACAGAACAGAGACAAATTACAAAAGAATGTCCATAAAGTTGGGGGCATGGTAACTTCTTGGTTAGCATGTTTGCCTTGAACCTCTGGGGTTGGGTGTGAGGCGTGGAGTTTGCATGTTTTCCCCATGCTTCGGGGGTTTCTTCTGGGTACTCCAGTTTCCTCCCCCACTCCAAAGACACGCATTGTAGGCTGATTGGCATTTCCAAATTGTCCATAATGTGTGAATGGGTGTGTGAATGTGTATGCTTGTGCCTTGTGAGGGGCCAACACCCCACCTTGTGCCCGGAGTTTCTTGGGATAAAATCCTGTGTAGGATAAGCGGTACAGATAGTACAGTGGTTATATAGTTCTGTGGGTTTGATGAAGATTTGGCTCACTGTTATGTATGTGTCATATCCTGACATTTGTCACCAGTGAATTACAAAGCAGGACAGCTTGGTTATATGCCAACTATCACATGTAGTCACACAGGAGGGGGAAAGGGAATTAAAAATATCTCTCAGAAGATCCTTTCTAAGCAAAGGATCAAATTATTAAGTGATGTTATATGGCTGAATGTGTATGTGATTGTGCCCTGCGATGGATTGACACCCTGTCCAGGGTGTACCCCACCATATGCCCGATGCTCCCTGGGATAGGCTTCAGGTTTCCCCATGACCCTGAAAAGGATTAAACAGTATAGAAGATGGATGGATGTTCTACAGCTGTGTGCATTTCACAAATAAGCTTGACAGAGTGTGTATTGATTACAACCTTGTGGTTTGTTTTCATGTTTAAAGGTTGATTAGTATTTTGAAACATGGGGCATATTTTCTTATCTAGTTCATACAGTCTGCAAGTCTACAAAAACTGTAACATACAACAATGCACACAAATGTGGTTTTGTATTGTTTTGAATAAAAGACATCAGGTAAGCCCTACTGTTCATTGATTTCCCAGTAGCCCGTGACACTAAAGTCGGTTAGTAGCCCTTCCCTTAATTTATGCATTTTAAATCAGCCATTTTCAAAGACATGGTCTGAATATTTATAATAAGAAAACATGGGACAGATGTTATTCTGAAGCAATTAAGCTGTTGTTGTCATGCAAGCAGTTCCCCAATATATGGCGCTTAACCAGCACTTAAAAGTCTGTGTAGTCATAATTTAATACACCCATCCTTTAGTATATAAATCATGCATGTGTAAATTATACGTATAATCCCTACAAGGAGTCCTGAATGTTTTAGGCAATTCAGCTGCTTGCAGCCAGGAGGAGTGGAACGGAAAAGCCCGGCTATGTCAGAAGTGAAGAAAAGCAAAATCCCATTTCACACAGAGCTTACAGAGTAAGTTAGACAGGCTGCCCATGTGAAACCTACCATTTTCATCTTTAGCCACTTCAGGCATGGGTAAAAGAGCAAGATCATTTTGACACCACAGTTTGAAATGGCTTTGGTCCTAAATTGGCTCTCCCTTTTTAGGAAGTGAGGACAGAGCATGCAAGTATAAAGGTGCCTTGGTTCCTTATGACATTTTTCTAGCATAGCTTTTAAACTAGCCAGTAATATTTTCCTCAGAACTGGAAGTTCCACTTTATTGAAGTGGCTCTCGTTTGGTCTGTACACAGCGATGCAGAAAGCATCTTTACAATGTTGGTGGATGATGCCTGCATAATCGCATGGTCCTGTCGCTCTCTCTTTCATCTCACTGACCTCTCTGTTTCATAGTGTGCTGCTCCCTGGTGGGTATTTTAACAGCTTAGCATGTCCTCTGACCACAGAGGTCAGACAGAAGCTGCCCCTGGGACACCAGGCATCTTCAGCTGGCATAATTGTGCCTGCAAGGTACGATATGACCAGACAAAACACTGCATTGTAAAAAGAAAATAGCCCAGGCCTGAAAATAGCATGTTAATGTTATACCTAATTTAACGACTAGTGGAAAGGCCCTGGGGTGAGGTCACAGAATTCAAAATCAACTGACTTGGTCCAAAGGAGTTAGTGCAGCCGGACAAGGGCACAAACTCTGACACTGGCACTGTGTGGCAATGAATCACCTCTCACCATCGTGAGGAAAAGCTGTATTATTAGTGCCTTAAAATAACACTGGCAAAATGTGCACATCTCGATACTTCTTTAATTATATCAAATGATACGTATGTATAGGATTTTAATTACATACTCTTAAATACTATCATGTAGTTTAATTAATTAGCCACTAGTGTTATATATGACTGTAAAGTAAATATCCTCCTTGTCATGGATGACTCTAAAGTGAAAATTGTCTATATCACAGTTGTGAGTCTAGTGTGACTGTAAATAGCAACTTTTATTTTGTCAAGCCATGTGAACCATCATGGAAATGGTTTCCCAAACAGCATCTTCTTGTCTTGGTTTTGATGCATTTCTTATATGAGGCCTTTATCTAGGTCTGGGCTAGTCCGTATATTTTCACATCTTCCATCCATCCATCTTTACCAATTTATCCTTTTCAGGGTCATGGGGAAAGCCTATCCCAGGGAGCATTGGGCATAAGGCGGGGTTCACCCTGGACAGGGTGCCAATCCATCGCAGGGCACACAATCACATACACTTTCACACACCCATTCATACACTACGGACATGCCTACCATGCATGTCTTTGGACTGGGGGAGGAAACCGGAGTACTCGGAGGAAACCCCTGCAGCACGGGGAGAACATGCAAACTCCGCACACACAGGGCCACAGTGGGAATCGAACCCTCAACCCTGGAGGTCTGAGATGAATGTGCTAACCATTAAGCCACCATGCACCCATTTTCACATCTTCATATTTCCAAATCAAATGACTAAGTATCTAAGTGAATGTAAATGGAAAACAATGCAAAGGATCAAGCTAATATTGTTCTGTAAGAGTGAATAGTAGAAGTCTAGAACCATCCATGGTGCTTTGGAGTTTAGTAGGAGGCAGCCCTAAAAACAAAACTATACATAATATAGATCACTGTGACTTAGGGATTTAGATGTTACTGAGGTCAGTGCAGAACATGCCAGTTTATCTGCTGGATCATTAGAAGCCTGGAAAAAGTCCCAGAATCTTTCATAGACACAGCATCCTCCATCCAAGAAAGGCCTGTCATAGAGCAATTGCAATGAACATGAGCTTTCCTGGTGTGCACTCTAAGTTCCAGAATCAACTATTTTAACTGAGCATCCATTTCATCCACATAATGTCTAGATGACTGTTTCTTTAATTACTAGTTGAGTATTAAAACTTTATAGTCATGGAGACCCTAAGTATCACAATATGCAGCATGGGATGTTTGAGACACAAGACAGCATATGAACAGCAGGTGAAATCTCAGTCAGATGTTGCAGTGAGGAGCATATGAGCAGAGCTCATAGACTTTCTCTATTCTTGCTGTCACACAGGCTTCATGATCCCAGCAAAAGTGGAATTATTCGTGATGGAGGAGGATAGAGACACGCACATAAGCACATTTGAAGCCCTGTATTAAAAAAAAAAAAAACAGCAGTAGGACATGCAATTAGTTCCATATTGAGTGAGAGAGGAAGAGGGGGTGAGAGAGAGCTGGGGATGTTTTGGCTGACCCACTTAAGCAACACAGTGAGGCGGAAAAACGCAACTTCAGCTGAAACAAATAGCACCTTCAAGTCTGGCAAGCCTTCACTGAAATATGGATGGACAGATTCCCACTCTGACAGAGGGCAGGAACATGTGCCAGTACTTGCTTAAACTCTTTAATTATCCCAAACATAGACTCATACATTTTCACATTGATCAGGGAGAGCTGCTGTGCGCCTTCACGACTACCATTTTGGAGGAACCAGGGCAGTTGTTCTCTGCACATACTCCTTACACTGCTTTCCCTCTGTGCTGCCAAGGCCTTAATGAAGATTAGGAAATGTTTTTGCAAGCACCACCTTCAGCTTGTTGCCTGCGTCACTTCAGGTAATCAGTTCAGATTAGATTCAGCATTCCTCCAGGTGGTTAGACTGATTGCAACTAGATGTCAACTTCTTTGGGGATCTACGTTGGCAAATGGTAATGGATGTTTGCCACTAAACTATCTTAAATATTGTATTCTGCTACATGTGAAGTCGAATAAAAATGAATGATTGTTGTCACAGGGAATAATGCACTATTTGAGTAATAGATTCCTTGATGTCATGGTTTCAAAATTGGTGGCCGTGGAAGAAGAAGAAGTACCTACATTTTTACTTTCATTAAGAAATACAGTTTGAATGATTCTGAAAATCAGAAAAGCCTCAATCATACGCATGCTCAACCCCCGGATCAGGTACACCGGTGTAATTGCAGAAGACATTTGCCTATAAGGTTATAAAGCTCCTATTGAGTGATTGTATTTGGTGTTAAAGGGTGTTGATTACTTTTCTATAACAGCATCTCAGACAGTAGTGCTGGTCTTCACGTTTGCAGTTTATAATAATGTGTTGCTTCTAATTTGTTATCTGGATTTATTTAACATTTATGGAAGGAATCGTCTGGGTTACACATTTAACCCTGTTTCTTGAGAAGATAATGAGATGTTGTGTTTAGCGTAACACCATGGGAGCACCAGGCCCACTGAGAAACGTGCTTGTTAGAACTCCAGGACTGTAGCTATTGCGCAGTTCGCTGGGTGTAGCTGATGTTCCTCACACCATGAGATAAAAAGTTGCCACTTGAGTGCACACAATTTCGTCGTAGATGTTGTTCTAGCATTCAACATGGTCTCTACAACCTCAGTAAGTGAGACCAAAATCTATGAGCTAGTGCCCCACAGTTTCCATAGTTCTGGGTGAGGATGATAAATCAGCCCTCCGGCTTGAGACAGTAGATCCCTGCGGATGGGAATCTCTCAAGGAGTGCCATCTAGCAGGGATATTATCTCTGAGAACCATATTAGAGCTGGCCAATAAGTTCTACTAGCAGCAGACGTAGACTGTCTTGGCAAACTCTTGCTAGAACTTGTGGGAGCAGAGCGATCGGGGGAAAAGCATATAGATGTGATCTCGGCCACATGTTACCCATGGCGTCCAGCCCTAATTGTGCTGAAGTGAGGGCGATCCACACCGGGCAGTGTGTTGTCTCCTTGGAGGCGAACACATGCAGTCCTGCTTGGCCAAACCTCTGCCATATGGACTCCACCACTTGTGCATGGAGCCACCAATCCCTGGGCCTCAGCTCCTGCCTCAACAGGATGTCTGCCCCCACATTCCAGTTGCCCAGAATGAACATTGCACTCACTGACAAAACTTTCCCTCTGCCCGGAGAAGAATTAGTTGCGTCTGCCTGAACAGGGGGTGCAGACATAATTCTTCCTGGTGGTCAATATATGAAACCACCACTGTGTTGTCTGTAAACGCCTGCTGGCCTCTCAGTTTAGGAAGAAGGAATTTCAGTGGTAGAAATATGGCCCACATTTCTAGGCAATTTATATGCTGTTCCAGATGAGGGCCGCTCCAGAGACCGTGAGCTGGACAGTTGTCTAAGACCGTGCTGGAGCCCATGAGGGAGGTGTCTGTCATTACCGTCTTGCACTAAGGAGACACCCCTAGAGTGTGACCAAAGGCTAGAAACTGGAGACACTTTGAATTCTCAGAGCAAGTAGGCATCGCCGCTTGACAGTGATTACACTGAAGTTTCGTCCTTGTACGAAACCCCCAACTTCTCAGCCACCACTGAAATGGTCTCCTGCTCAATTGGCCCAATGGTATGACGTTGGCTGCTGCTACCATAATCTCCAATAGTCTCCCATAGAGACTGGAGGAGATGCCAAGATTCAGCTTTATCTTGCTCAATGTTGATAGGATTGACCCTATGCATGTTGGGGATAGAAATGCCCTCATCGTAGAGGAATCCTTATAACACATAGAAAGGTTGTCCACTGCACTGGAGAAAGCATCTCATCAGGGTGAGAACAACACCTCGATGTTGAACCGCCAGTTCCCTGGATCATGCTAGAATTAACCAGGTAGTTTAGTACACGGATGACTTGGAGTCACAAAGGAGCCAGAATTACATCCATGCACTTTGTGAAGGTGCAAGGGGATAAAGCTAGCCCGAAGGGAAGAACCCGAGCCTGATATGCCGCGCCTCCAACACAAACCCCAGGAACATCCTGTGACTGGGCAATATTTCTATGGGGAAATATATACCTTTTAGATCTATCGTCACAAACCAGTCCTCAAACTGAATCTGTGGAACGATAAGTTTGGGCGTCAGCATCTTGAACCTGTATGTCCGAAGAGTACAGTTCAGATTACGCAGATCTAAAATTGGCTGCATACTCCGCTATTTTTTGCGGTCCAGGAAATAACTCCCTCAGGGAATGGGGTACATGTTCTATGACCACTTTGTCCAAGAGGGATCTTACTTCCTGTGCTAATGTTGGGCTCTGCTCTGTGCTGACTATTGTGGTGAACATACCTCTGAACCGTGGGGTCGATCTCTCAACTGGACTAAGTAACCATTTTATACAGTATACAGTACCCATGGAGACACATTGGCAGTAATTTCCACACTGCCAGATGGTTTTTTAGTGACGTTAACTTTTCCACATTCCATTGGCGGGAAAGCATAAGATTTTGGTTGCCCTGTTACAGCTTGCTGATTAGAGAACACTGAAAACAATGACAGCCTGGCTAGGGGAGGCCCTACCTTGGCTTTCCATAGAGGAATGAGGAGTCACGACACAAGCTCCAAAATCCAGTGGAGAGCCAGACTCAGAAGACAGATCAAGAGATAAAGCATCGCTCATCTCCGGCTCCTCTTCTGGATCCATAAGAGATCCACCGGACTTGAGACGGCTAGCTGCCTTGGCAGCGGCCGGCGCAAATCCGCTAGGCTCCGAAACCAAACTCGCTTCAGCTTCCTAGAAGCGAGCGAGACGCGAGCGGAGCTGCCTAATGTGAGGCATTACAATGCGCAGTCAGACACCTCTCTCGGGCTACCATCGCATTCTCCATTCCTAGACACTTCACACAGAAAGTGCACTCCTCCCCGAGATGAAACGGGAGCAAGGCATAACACACTTCCTGAATTCTCTCACTCACTCTCATACATCTTTTCTCTTCTTTTTTTTAATCTGTTTTTATTTTTTTTTATTCTTTAAAATTAAAAAAAAAAAAAAAAAAAAAAAAAATTAAAAAAAAACTTTTTTTTTTTTTTTAAAAAAAAAAAAAAACACACACAAAAAAAAAAAGCACTTTTTTTTTTTTTTTTTTTTAAAAAAAAAAAAATTTTTAAAAAAAAAAAAAAATTTTTTTTTAAAAAAAAAAAGGGTGCCATATACAGTATCTCACAGAAGTGAGTACACCCCTCACATTTTTGTAAATATTTGATTATATCTTTTCATGTGACAACACTAAAGAAATGACACTTTGCTACAATGTAAAGTAGTGAGTGTACAGCTTGTGTAACAGTGTAAATTTGCTGTCCCCTCAAAATAACTCAACACAGCGATTAATGTCTAAACCGCTGGCAACAAAAGTGAGTACACCCCTAAGTGAAAATGTCCAAATTGGGCCCAATTAGCCATTTTCCCTCCCTGGTGTTATGTGACTTGTTAGTCTTACAAGGTCTCGGGTGTGAATGGGGAGCAGGTGTGTTAAATTTGGTGCCTTTGCTTTCACACTCCCTCATACTGGTTACTGGAAGTTCAACATGGCACATCATGGCAAACAACTCTCTGAGGATCTGACAAAAAAAATTGTTGCTCTACATAAAGATGGCCTTTTCTATAAGAAGATTACCAAGACCCTGACACTGAGCTGCAGCTTCCACTCAGAA